GGAAGGCCATGCCATTGAGCTTCCTGCTCAGCTCAGGGATGACCTTGCCCTCAGGCTTGGCAGTGACAGCAGATGTAGTGATGATGTTCTGGATAACCCCATATCCATTATGCCAGTTTCCTGAAGGAGCCATCCACAGTTTTCTAGGTGGCAGTGATGGCATGGACAATGGTCATGAGTACTCCCATGACACCAAAGTTGTCATGGATGACCTTGGCCAGGAGTGCTAAGCAGTTGGTGGTACAGAATGTATTGCTGATGATCTTGAGGCTGTTGTCATACATCTCATGGTTCACACCCATCACAAACATGGGGGCATCAGTAGATGGGGCAGAGATGATGGCCCTTGTGGCTCACCCCTGAAAGTGAGCCCCAACCTTCTCCATGGCAGTGAAGACAGCAGTGGACTCCACGATGTACTCAGTGCCAGTATTACCATATTTGATTTTGGTGAGATCTAGTTCCTAGAAGATGGTGATGGAATTTCCATTGATGACAAGCTTCCCGTTCTCAGCCTTGGCAGTGCCATGGAATTTGCTGCGGGTAGTACTATACTGAAACATGCAGGGCATGTAGTTGAGGTCAAGGAAGGGGTCATTGATGGCAACAATATCCACTTTATCAGAGTTCAAAGCAGCCCTTGTGACCAGGAGCCCAAATATGGTCATATCTATTCACTCCAGGCTTCACCTTCACCATGGTGTCTCAGGGATGCAGCTGGCGCTGCATGAGATGTGGCTGTCTGTCGAATAGGAGAAGCAGAAAGTTACAGCATATTATTTAACCCATAATTATCATATTGAGAGATTGTGAACTCTGATGCCAATAGGCGGTGACTCAGATGGGCATCACTTGACATAGCAGGCTGACATTCCCTGAGAATGTGGACAATTCAGTTGTCTCAGTATCAGTCGTTTAAAAGACCATTCTTTTCCCTCATTGAATTTACTTTTGTCAAAATCAATTGGTCATTAGATTTTGGCCATTAACTCACACATAAGTAAAAATTCTCTCAAAATGGGTTATAAGCCTAAATTTCAGGGATAAACTATACACTTCTTCGAAAAAAATGTAAATTAACATGTTCATGACCTTAAATTAAGAAAAAAAAACCCTTTCTCTGCTAAACAAAAAAGTTAAAAAATGAGACATGATCAAAACTAAAAATGTTTGCTCTTTAAAAGACATCAATAAGAAAATGAAAAGACAAGCCACAAAATGAGAAAAAATATCAAATCATTTATTCGACAAAGGACTTGTATCCAGAATATAAAATACAATTACAACTAAAGAACACAAGGATAAATGACCCAATTTTTAAATCAGCAAAATATTTGAACAGTCAATTAATCAAAAAGGTGTAAGAATGGCCAATAAAGCACATGAAAAGGTGGTCAGCATCACCAGTCAGCAGGGAAATGCAAATCAAAACTACAATGTGACACCACTTCTTACCCACTAGAATGCCATAATAAAAGAGAAGGACAATAACAATTGGAGGAAGTGAAAAACAATGATGTGAAAAATTGAACTACTCATGCATTACTGATGGGACATACAGCCACATTGGAAAACAGATTGCCAGTTTCTTAAAACGTTAAAGATACATTTACCATATGACCTAGCACTTTCACTCCTAGCTGTCTACCCCAAAGAAATAAAAACCTATGTCCACACAACACATGAATGTGAATATTCATAGCAGCTTTATCCATAACAGTCCATAAAGTGGAAACACATCAAATATCGATCAATTGATGAATGAATAAATAAATGGGAGCCATACATACAATTTAATAGGGTTTGGCACCTAAAAGGAATAAAGTATTGATAAGTGCTACAACATAGATGAACCACAAGAGTCCATTAAGCTGGCCAGGTATGGTGGCTCACACCTGTAATCCCAGCACTTTGGGCGGCCGAGGTGGGTGGATCATTTGGGGTCAAGAATTTGAGACCAGCCTGGCCAACATGGTGAAATCCCACCTCTACTAAAAATACAAAAATTAACCAGGCAGGGTGGCAGGTGCCTGTAGTCCCAGTTACTCTGGAGGCTGAGGCAGGAGAATCACTTGAACCTAGGAGGTGGAGGCTGAAGTAAGCCAACATCACACTAAAAAAAAAAAAAAAAAAAGTATATTAAGCTAAGTGAAAGAATAGAAATGCAAAGATCACATATTCTATAATTCCATTTATATAGTGTCCAGAAAAGGCAAATCTGTAAAGTTAGTGAGTCAATTACAGGTTACCTTGAGCTGTGAGTAAGAGTAAGGAATGGTGACTGATAAGCATGAGGGATTTCTTAGGAATGATAGAAATGCTGGAAAACAGGATTGTGGTGATGGTCCACACAAGTATAAAATTTTACTAAAAATAATTGAACTGTCCACTTAAAACAAGCAAATGTGATGTCAATTATACCTCAATAAACCTGTTTAAAAATAAAAGACAGTTGGTATTATGGTTCCCAATTACTCTTGACCTTTGTTTTATTTTTCCCTTTCTTTAGGGCTTATATTTATTGCTTCCATTCAGAGACTCCAAAAGACATGAGCTGAAATCTACCAGCCTCCAGAACATTCAACAGCTGAAGGAATGTCCGGCCCTACCCTGAAGGCGGTGGGGGGATCTGTAAGGTGCACTCCCAGCATCTGCTACGTGTGTGATGCACCTGGGTGATTTTAGATAGTGCTCCACAAGTCTCAGCAAGACCCAGGGTCTGTAGATAGTTCTGATAGCTTCAGAGAACAAGCTGCTACATCTTGCAGCACAAAGCCAACCTTTCCTAGGCAAGTGGTTTTGAAGCATTGGTCATCAGGTCCAAAATAGAAGATGAATGTCTACAACATGGGAGGAGGGCAAGACCCAGAATGGGGTGTCAAACTAAATCATTTGTAGAGTATTACTTTCAACAACTGCAGAAAATGTTCTTTTCAAGTGCTTACGGCATGTTCACCAATGTAGACCATATGCTGGACCATAAAACAAGTCTTAGTAAATATCCAAGAATCAAAACTATACACAGTGTGTGCTCTGGCCACAGTAGTATTTAATTGGAAATCCATAATAATGAGATATCTAGAAAATCCCCAATTTTAGAAAACAAGCAACATGCTTCTGAATAACACTTGGGTCAGAGAAGAAATCACAAGAAAACATTTTAAATATTATTAACTGAATGATGATAACCCAATACATCAAAATGTTGGATACAGCTAACATAGTGCTTAAAGAGAAATTTACAACTTTTAATGCCTATAGGGGAAATAGGAAAGGAGTAAAGAAAAACAATTTTCTATGCTTTTATTATCAGAATCCTGAAAAACGGGGCTGGGTGCGGTGGCTCACGCCTGTAATCTCAGCACTTTGGGAGGCTGAGGGGGGCAGATCATGAGGTCGGGAGTTTGATACCAGCCTGGTCAACATGGTGAAACCTCGTCTCTACTGAAAATACAAAAATTAGCCAGGTGCGGTGGTGGGTGCCTGTAATCCCAGCTACTCAGGAGACTGAGGCAAGAGAATTGCTTGAACCCAGGAGGCAGAGGTTGTAGTGAGCTGAGATGGTGCCACTGCACTTCAGCCTGGGTGACAGAGCAAGAATCTGTCTCAAAACAAAACAAACAAAACAAAACAAACAAACAAAAACAGAATCTGAAAAACAAGAGTGAAAAAAAAAAACAATAAATGTAAGCCAATAATAAAAATAATGAAAATCACGAAATAGAAAAATAAACAATAGAGACAATCAACGGTCAATTTTTCTGTATTCCCTGCACAAAACTTCATTTCAACAAAATTTTATATTTAAATATATATCCAGAACCACACAGATCTTAGAAGAAAAAAAAATAGGGAAATATAAAATAAAATGAGAACTGTGGGAATAAAAATCAGAAAGTAGTTGCCTATGAGGTAGACTGGGGGAAGGGCAGGGAATTAACAGGGAACAGGCAGAAAACAACTTTCTGGAGTGAAGGAAATGGTCCATATCTTTTTTGGGGTGCTACTTACATGGGCATATATAACTGTCAAGGTCCACTGAACTGAACACTTAAGACCTGGGCATTTTAATGCATGTAAATTATATTTAAATTTTTTTAAGTAGAGAAAAGTGTCTTGGGAAGCTTATGGCAGTGATATTTGGGCAGTTCCAGGCATAGGTTTCAGAAGCATTCACAGCATATTCAGTTCGGGAATTTGCTGAGAATGGTTTTGCAGCCAAAAATATGGGATAAGTTCAAACATCTATGATACGAGTCATTGGGGCATAAACCACAAATCCCCACTCTTGTGGTACAGGCCATATCAAGTGGTTATCACCAGATAGCTTCCCTTAAATGATGTTCTTCCTCTAGGAACCCAGAGCTCTCCAGGAGAAAATGACAATTGAGGTGTAGGATATACTGGGTAGGAAAGAAAGTCACCTCACATAAAACTCAGTGATTGGAGCTGTCACCATTGCAAATTTCTAAACTTTGCAAGACAGCAGCAACATTTTAAATGATAGTCTGAGAGAGGAAATAAGACAATGAGCAAACATGGATTTCCCTCCAGATGGATTTACTGAACAAGGGTACAATTCAAATTGCACTTGGAGATTTCTCCTGGTCTAGTTTAAGTTCACAAATTGTGGATCCCAGACAGCTGGTATCAACTGACTAGTGTCCTGTGAAGGCTAAACCGAAGACTCTTTGCCACACTGCAGCATTAGGATGGGACTTCTCTTCCTGTTCCTAGAAAGAATTAGAGATATAACCCAAAGGTCACTATTTTTCTGAGATAAGGGATCCTGCAGGAGGAGACAGCAATAAGTATGTGGCCAGAGATCAAAGTGATAAGAGCTGGGCCAGAAGCCACAGTGCATAAAGCTTCAGCCCTGCCACAGGGGATGAGGGGACAAGTACTTCTACTCTTCTCTCCAGCTTTTAACAATCTAATGGTTAGAGCTTTTTCACTTTCTTTCAGCTACTCCTGGCAGTGGTAAGGACACAGAATGTTTGCAAAAAAAATGGGGTGGAGGAAAATAAGGCATCTGTGTGAGTGTATAACCATTTGACATCTCTTTTTAGCCCTCTCCAGGGTCACCCTAGAATCAGATCTGCTCTCCAGCATCTTCTGTTTCCTGGTGAAGTTTTCCTGCTACTTTGGATTGGCCATGACGGGCTGGAGCTGCCTTGTGACAGGAGCAGGAGGGTTTCTGGGTCAGAGGATCGTCCGCCTGTTGGTGGAGGAGAAGGAGCTGAAGGAGATCAGGGTCTTGGACAAGGCCTTCAGACCAGAGCTGAGGGAGGAATTTTCCAGTAAGTAAACTTGGGTCATGGGTGGGTGGTTCCATCTTAAACCCTGTATGCATGTGGGGGAAGGTGGACCTTGTCTAGCAAGTTATTGAAATTTGAAGCCAAATCTAAGCCAATCTCACATCCAAAGTCATCAAAAAATAAATATTAAATAGTATACAATGGCATAGTATGAAAGATACTGGATGGGATTTCCAGAGACTGGATTCTGGCCCTGACCCAGAACTTGAGAGGCAGCCGCCTCAGCCTCCAGGCCTCTTTTCTTCTCATCTAGAAAATCCCACACTAGTTCTTATTCTTGTCTGCAACTGTTTTATGTTCTGAAGCTTTTGTCTTGGCAATTGCTGTACAACATTCACAAATGACACCATTACACTGGAGAGCTCACCAGTGGGTCATTGTCTCACTAGACCGTGCCAGGCTGTGTTTTGTTTTGTAGCTTCCTTAGTATCTTTAGTGAGGGAAAAATAAAAGGAAGTGGAGGTAAAGACGAGTGTATAAGGGTGCGTGTGTGGGACAGAGAGAGAGGAAAACAATAAGGGGGAGAGAAAGTCAGAGACAGAGACAATAAGAAAGAGAGAAATAATGAGAAATATATAGTGAGAGAGAGAGCATCAGAGAGAGAGAGTGTATGTGTACAGTGCAAAGCACAGAGCAGAGACAGAGTAAAAAGCGGTATAAGGCCAAATATGCCTCATTTAGATTTCGCATATATGGCTTAAAAAAAAAATTTACCTCTGTTGCTCATCATCAAAAACAAATTGATTGCAGAATTTGCTGTGGCAACTCCTTTTACAAATGGCCCCATGAGGCAGGTAGAAAAGGGGTCATATTCAACTGGACAATGAACGCATCAAGGTCCAGAACCATAAAGCGACTTGCTAAGGCCATCTGATTGATGTGCAGCAGAGCTCAGACCAGAGCTTTATCCATAGGCTATATCACTTGGTCCCAGAACTGATGCTTGGCAAAGTGGATCTTCAGTCTCTCCCTTTGCCCCTTGGTGTGTCCCAAAATGATTCCTTGTCTTCCTCCCCAACCCAGGGGATTTGGGGGACTGTGTGTCTACATGGGGGCTCTGGCTGCTCAGAGGGTCCTGCCCTGCCCACAGAGAAGCCCCCACTTGACAGCACTCAGGAACCACACCCGGTACTCTACTTTTGATCTTCTCTGACCTCTTGAAACTTTTGATTTCTTCCGCCCTCTGTTTTAATGGTGTCTTTGATAAACAAATATTAACACATTACCAATATTAAATGCTTGTAATCCTTGTGTCTCAGCAATATTTACAATTTAACATCTGAAGCCAGAAAAAAGCAGTGCTCGGCCTAGTGGTATTGTTCCCCTAGGGCAAAAATACAGGGCATATAATAGATAGGCAGGATTCTGTATGAAGATAAAAGCAGAGAATCCTTTCGGTGTTCTTTTTGTGCCAGGCACTTGGCGAAAGGTTTGCTGACTCATTTGCTCCTCATAACAACCCTATGAGATCGATGATGTTATCCTCCTTTTTTACAGATGAGGCGATAGAAACAGAGAGGTTAATTAACTTGTCGAAGGTCCCACAGTTAGAATATGGCAAATCTGGATTTGAACTCAGACAGACTAGTGCAGCATCTGTGCTCTTAAGCGGTAGTTTGTCTTACGGCTTCTCTGGGCCTTCTTCTAGCCCAGCTTAAACCATCTAAGTGACTCCATTTAGTCTACATAAGACACTTGCCAAGTCTACAGTGCCTTAGAGAAGAAGAGAGCCATGACTTCATCAACGAAGTCCCCTTTCCTAGTCCCTCTAGGACTTCACCAACAAAGTCCGCCTTTCCTAGATCCCTGGGAACTCACTGGGGAAGAGTCCTTTTCTCTCAGCTTTGGACTTCTTCCACTTTGACACTCCTTTGAGCCAGTCTGTCTGAAGTGGCAGCAAAGAAGAAGCAGAGGAAGGCAGCAGGAAGGGCAGAGGTGGAAATAGAACCAGAGAACATCCCACTCTCAGGTTGTTACCCACATCGCCACCAGCAGCCTCTTTCCTGACTCCCCCACTCCAGGACCTTCTTGGAGTTGCCTGACAATGGGAAGAGGTTGGGAGTAGACAAAACACGGCAGAGGCATCAGGAGAGCAAGTAGGTCTGCTTGTACCCCAGGAAGGAATTTCTCCAGCTTTGAATTTTTCACTCTGAATTTTGCCCTCACTGGTCTTTGGTCTTTGTTGCCAATTTCAGTTAAACTGGTTAATTCTTTGGAAAAGAATGATTAAACAACAGAAAAGTTGGTATTAAACAGCCAGTCCTGCACCTGGTGTACAGGGTACAAGCTTGGAGGCAGGGTGGGCATGTTTAAGCCTTCAATAGAAACGTGACCTTAGATCTGTCCCTTAACCTCTCTGAGACTCAGTTTCCTCACTGATAAAGTGGGACTCAGAATACCTAACTCATGAGATAGCAGTAAAAAGAAATAAACCTCCTGTAAGTTGCATACAGATTATAAAGCACAAATGAGTGTAGAGTATTTATCTGAGCTCCATGTAAAATGGTGTTCATTTTAGGAGCTAATTCCAGATGATAACCTTACTGGCAGCATCACTTCCTGTGGATTTCAGAGGAACCTGAAGACAATGATGTTGTAATCACTGCCTCTGGCTAGACAGCTGCGATGTTAGTTCATTGGTGGTGAACTCATTTTCAGCATGGCTACCTGCTTTTGATGATACCTGATAAGAGTTTCTCAGATAATTTCATCATTGAAGCCCACCCACAATTCCTGAGTAATGGCTCCACTCTCCTCCCAGTTGCCCAAGCAGGAAACTGTAGGTGTGATTTTATATTATCCTTTTCCTCTCAGCCCAGCTCCAATAGGTACCAGGACCTTCAAGGTAAGGTCTGAAATTCAAACCTGGTGTATCTCTCCCCTCCTCTGCTTCCACTGCTTCCAGTCCTCACCTAAACTTTGGCACAGACATTTGATTAATCTCTTGATCACCTGGCTTTCTCATATGCCCTATACCAGTCCATTTTATATCCTCAAGCCAAGATTAACTTCCCACACCACAATCCTGCTTCTGTTTCTTTTTCTTGTTTGTGTTTTTGTTTGTTGGTTGGTTGGTTTGGGGTTTTTTCTTTTTTCTTTTTCTTTTCTTTTCTTTTTTTTTTTTTTTTTTTTTGAGACAAGGTCTTGCTCTACCACCCAGGCTAGAGTGCAGAGCTGTGATCGCGGCTTACTGCCAGAAGCCAGAGACCCCCAGCCTCCATTTATCCTCCCACCTCAGCCTGCAGAGTAGCTGGGACTGCAGGCACACGCCACCATGCCCCATTATTTCATGTATTTTAATAGAGATGGGGTTTCCCCCTGTTGTCCAGGCTGGTCTCAACCTCCTGCACTCCAGTGCAGCCTCCCAAACTGTTGGGATAACAGGCATGAGCCATGGGGCTTGGCCTTTTTGTTATCTTATTCCAAATATAAATAGGGGGTTTTCTTTAACATGGTGCTGGAGTCCCAAAATTATGATTCCATACATGATTTCTCATTACTTACAGAATTAACTTCAAATTTTCCCTCATATTCTCTACAATCACCCTACTCTCCTTAGAAAATTTGATGAGCTTCCCATGGCTCTAGAAATGCTTATATTCCAGGCATACCTGACAGCTCACTGCTCAGATTACTTTTCTGAAATGAGATGGGCAAGAAACAGATGTTTGCTCTTTCCAAATAAATTTATACATATGCTGATTTCTGTGCCTTTTTTACTTGTTTCTTCCAAAGAATGTACACCCTCCTCTTTAACACCCTGCTCTAACCATTCTTGAACACCTGTGTAACATCACCTTTATCAGAAAACCTCTCAGCCAGATACAGAAATCATTCCTATGACCTGACCTGTGTTCACACAGAGCTCCAGAACAAGACCAAGCTGACAGTGCTGGAAGGAGACATTCTGGATGAGCCATTCCTGAAGAGAGCCTGCCAGGACGTCTCGGTTGTCATCCACACCGCCTGTATCATTGATGTCTTTGGTGTCACTCACAGAGAGTCCATCATGAATGTCAATGTGAAAGGTACGGTAGGCTGGGGAGGAGATGAAGCAAGGTGGGGAATTAAGGATCACAAAGAAGGGCAGGAAGGGAAGAGAAGTTCCCTCCACTGAATACCTGCTGTGCTCTGGGCCAAGTGCCTTTGTTGATCACTACCAACTAGGGAGTTTAAGGCTGCTAACTTTAGTTTTTTAGATGATAAAACTAGGACTGAGAGATGGCAAGTAACTTGTCCAAGGTCTCCCAGGCGACTAAGCAGGTAGGAGAGCTGGACTTTAAACTCACCCCTCTGTGACTCTAAAGGCTGTGGAAGCTTTTTCTACTGTGGTTCCAATCAAAAGTCAACTAATCTCTGACTTCAGACTCTCGATATTCAGCCACCCCTTGCCTCCTGGGCCAGAATCAGACCTTGGAGGTGCAACTGTAGTCACCATTTTGAACCTTGTGTGTAGGCTGATGAGAACATTCAGAGCCCTCCTGCCCACTTCAAAGAAGAAGTCCTCTCAAGAGAACTAGCAAAGCTGGTTCAGAGGTCTGTCAGGACAGAATTATCTGGCACATGCCTTCCCACAAAATTTTTTAACAATAAGATTTTTCCAGTATCAAGAATACAATCTCTTCAGCTCACCACAGGGCCCACTATTCCAGAGCCATTTCCAGCCAGGTGCCCAAAGTGCACCCTCATTTAATCCTCATCCCTTAAATTCTTGGGGTTTCCTTTCAAAGTATGACTTTCCAACTACCTTAAATTCAGACACATTTCCTTAAGGAATCTTCTCATAAAGTCTCACCCTCTGATCTCCAGAGTCCAGTCTCTTCAGCACCATAGCACCCCAAACTCCAATCTGGCCCTCCATATTCAGTCTACTCTGACTCTTTTTCCAAAGCAACCAATTGCTTTTGAGTCTCCAGCACTATAAGAAAGAAAGAAAGAGAGAGAGAGAGAGAGAGAGAGAGAGAAAGAAAGAAAGAAAGAAAGAAAGAAAGAAAGAAAGAAAGAAAGAAAGAAAGAAAGAAAAAGAAAGAAAGAAAGAAAGAAAGAAAGAAAGAAAGAAAGAAAGAAAGAAAACAAAAACAACTTCCAGTGTCTACTTACCCATACCTCTAGGTACCCCTACTGTGAGGCATGAGGTGCTAAGAGTAACCGTGTTTGCTCTAATTACTACTCCTTAACAGTCTCTAAAAGGAAGGATATGAAATGACAGGGGAAGTGTTAGAGGCATCTGCTGCTAGAACCATTACCACTCAGGCTTAGAAAATACTTCAAAATGTTGGTCATTTCCTTTGAAAGTAAACTAACTGCAAATTTTCTCTGCCACAAGATTAATTTTTGAAAACATGAGGCTGTCTCTTCAGAAACTCAAATTGCACAGAGACATTAAAATGGCTAAGAATACAAAAATTTGTAAATAAAAATGATCCTTTGCCTGGGAAATCCCTTCCTTCTTCAAGGGAAGGCACTATGGATACCTCCATGAGCTTTGGTTTCTACACAACCCAGGAGAGGTTGCAAGCTCCTCCCAGTGGAGGTGTTACCAGCAGAGAGCACACTCCTCTCCACCCTCCACCAGGCTCCAAGACAGGAAACACCAGGCAGGGTTTAAAAGGAAGGTTTATCACTTCCACTTTATACAACTGGGTGAACAGAGTCACAGCCAGAAATTGAAGCAGCTTCCTGTGAACACACAATCAGAAAGAATGTGGGTTTCCCAGCAGTTCCCACAACCCACTGTTTGCTCAATGACTCCAGGTGATGGTCTCAGACAAAGTTTTTATTAGAGCCCAGCACATGAGAAAAGTACCAGCAATTTCATATATATTGAAGAGTTTATATTGCCCATATACAAAGGTATACGTGTGTGTGTGTGATGTGAATTCTTCAACTGCCCATTTTTGCTGTAAGACTGGAATCACCACATTCGCAGAGTATAGCCTCCTGATTTTTCAGATTTCAAACGATCTGACTTCAATGCTACTGATTAAACAGAATTTTTCAATACCTTTACTTGGCAAAATAAAAAGTGATAACCTCAGGTCCCTTTGCAAAGTTAAAGTACACACACACGTCCATGAAACACAAAAGTCTAGAAATTCCTACTCTCCAGAACCCACATGTCAGTTCCTCTTCATTTCGATGTTTTTCCTATGGCTGTAGTATGACCCGATCTCAGTCAGAGACACAGAAGAATGTGCCCTCAGTCTGTTAAAGTAACCATTATGTTTGGCAGTGGGGAGTGGGGCACATGGATCTGTGCTTGTGGTTGACCCTCTTAGGATATATACTGACACTGACAGTATGCTCTTTCGGGGGCAGGTACTCCAGCTCCTGTTAGAGGCCTGTGTCCAAGCTAGTGCCAGTCTTCATCTACACCAGCAGCATAGAGTGTAGCCGACTCCAACTCGTACAAGGAAATCATCCAGAACGGCCACGAAGAAGAGCCTCTGGAAAACACATGGTCTGCTCCATACCCATACAGCAAAAGCTTGCTGGAGAAGGCTGTGCTGGCAGCTGATGGGTGGACTCTGAAAGACGGTGGCACCTTGTACACTTGTGCCTTAAGACCCATGTATATCTATGGGGAAGGAAGCCAATTCCTTTCTGCTGGTATAAATGAAGCCCTGAACAACAATGGGATCCTGTCAAGTATTGGCAAGTTCTCCACTGTCAACCCAGTCTATGTTGGCAACGTGGCCTGGGCTCACATTCTGGCCTTGAGGGTCCTGCAGACCCCAAGAAGGCCCTGGCGTCCGAGGACAGTTCTACTACATCTCTGGTGATGACACGCCTCACCAAAGTTATGATAACCTTAATTACACCCCTGAGCAAAGAGTTCCGGCCTCCGCCTTGACCTGATGGAGCCTTTATCCCCGGGATTTACTGGACTGGTTTCCCTGCTGGAAATAGTGAGCTTCCTTCTCAGGCCAATTTACACCTATCGACCACCCTTTAACCGGCCACATGGTGACATTGTCAACAGTGTGTTCACCTTCTCTTACAAGAAGGCTCAGCGAGATCTGGCATATAAGCCACTCTACAGCTGGGAGGAAGCCAAGCAGAAACCGCGGAGTGGGTTGGTTCCTTGTGACCGGCACGAGGAGACCCTGAAGTCCAAGACTCAGTGATTTAAGGATGACAGAGATGTGCATGTGGGGCTTGTTAGAGATGTCATCAAGCTCCACCTCCTGGTTTCCATACAGAAGGTGACAAGGGCACAAGCCCAGGTCCTGCCTCCTCCCTTTCACCCAATGGCCAACTTATTGTCTTCCTCATATCATCAAAACCTGCGGAGTCACTCGCCCAACAGGAAGCTTTCTGTCTTAATCATACCAGAGGAAAGAATTACGATTTGCTGTTACCAAATCTCAGTAGCTGATTCTGAACAATTTGGGATCTCTTTAACTTGACTGCTTTCCGACTACCATAGCTCCATTTCCTCTTAAATGAAGAAATGATTTCCCTTTCTTTTAATCTTCCATTTCTTCACATAGTTTGATAAAAAGATCAATAAATGTCTGAATGTTTAACATGGAGGGAGGTGTGAGTTATGTTAATACATACTTTCCTCCTTTCTCCTTCTTTTTCAGGTGTTGCCATCTCCACCTAGAAGAGTAGAATAAAACCTGGGCTGGGGAGAGGGCAGAGTAGTAGGAGGCTGAAAGCCGGATGAAGACTGAATAAGCTCTACTAACTTTCAGGCATGTACGACATGACCTACATATGACATATATTATCTCATTTAATACTCATCAGAAACCTATCTGGTGGGGGTGACTAATCCCATTTTACCACTGAGGATACTTGTTCACAGTCACACTAACTGATTAGCGGCTATGTCTGCTACTTCAGGAGTTGGCCTTGAAAGCAGTTATCTTTCCACGGAATCATGCAGCCTGAACTGGTCTTGTCAGTGGTACAGCAGAGCACTGGAGCATGGGGTACCGATACTTGAAGAGACCCATCTCCTTGGGTTACTCCTTGCTCCAATCCCATGCAGGGGACTTCTGGAACCCAGGAGAATCCCTGGGAGCACCAAGGGGTTTGAATGTCTTACCAAAAGGCCCTGAGCAGGGGTGAGTGAAGCAAAAATGCTCAGCCTCCACCTTCAGTGCCGATTTCCTTGAAGGTCTCTAGAACACACCTGGCTATATGTGTGTTAGTCATTCTGATCATACATAACCCTGCATTTCACCCTCTCAAATCACACAGTGAAGCCACACCATGTGTTCCTGGGCAAGTAAAGGGAACAATTAAAAATTCCCCCAAAATGTGCTTTCTATTCAGCCCAAGAATAGAAGTCTACTGTCCCACATCCCCAGATTTAACTGCCTCTCTCTTCTTTCTCCTGTCTTGAGATCACATCCTTTCCTCCTTCTTTATTCTTTCATCTCCTTAGCCTCTTCCTTCCCCTCCAAATCCCCTTAAATCATTGACTCTCTCATTCTTCTCAATTTCCCTGAGGAGAGGAGACCAGTCAAGACAAGCTTGGGGACTTCGATGATGACACACAACTAACCAAAGGAGCAACAGTCAAAAAACAAAACAAAACAAACCACTGTCAAGGCATCAGTGACAGAGCTGAACTGAAGCGGGTGAGGAAGTTGCTGTGGGTCCAGAGTGTGGGGAGAGGAAAATTGTCTCCCTCTGGACCTGGGTGTATCACAGTCATGATGAGATCATATCCAACTTCAAGATGGCTTCTTTCTCACACACGAAATTTACAGAATATTAATCAGTTGAATTTGATTACTACAAAAAGATAGCTTCAGTACTCATTCTGGAAGGGAAAAAGGTAAACACATTCTGGTCCAGAAGAACAGGTTCCCACCACCATTAACATGTCAAGAGTCAGATAATCAGCACCAGCATCGGGGGAGTGGTTCAGGCAGTGGGGGTAACATGGAAAATGGAACACCCATCCTTCCCCAGTGCTTCACAAAATGCAAGAGCCAGCATCTGTCCAGCTCTTGAAATGTATGCAATACCCTGCCTCTATATGTTAATGCAAAATAGCAGTGGAAGGAAAGGAGGGTGGTGAAATTCTTGGAAAAGGGCCCTTTTGGGTCCCTTTTCTCCACCTGTAATATTCTGCAAGGTAGCTGGCAAAGGAATGAATGAAAGCACCAGCCAGCACAGCCTGAGCTTTTGCTGAATGTACCATCTTGCCCTAGCATAACATGTGAAACCTTGATATGAAGACATTTCCCCTGTCCACCTCCCACCCCCTGCAGCCCCCAGCCCAAAATTCCTAAAGTCATACTCTCTACAGTTGGCAAACAATTCACCATAAGCAGGTCGGGCAGGCAGGGAACAAAATCAGCCTTCACCTTCACCCTTAAATGGTGTTGAAATGTGTAAGACTTATCTCTCTCATGCCTGTCTCCCCCCCTAGCACTGAGCACTATGCTCGGCACTCTGCCCACCAGCTGAGGGGGTGAACTTCCCAGGAGCTCTGCTCCTACTGAGACATAGCCTTGGTTCCCGGGGAAGGCCAGCCATTCACAGATGGTATCAGAACACCCAGGCAGAACCACTCTACTCAGCTATAGTAGGTCCAGAAAGGCATCTCAGTGGACTGTCTTCAGTGAATAAAAAGAATGCATGGAACTACTTTCATTGAATCCCTGGTCTCCAGGAACTGAACTCTGTCAATCCTTTTACTTGTGTTGAACGTTCTTCAAATAGATGTATGGGAATGCCAGCTTGAACGCAGCATATACAATGATACCTTTTTCAAACTTCTTAAACAGAGGGAAACATGGATATGGAACAACTTGCTGCCCACCCCATTGACTTCCAAAGGAGCACCCCAGCTCCGAATGAGGCAGGGCACCAGCTGGGTATAGAGAGCACTGAGAACTGTGGCCTGATCTTCAGGGGAGCAGATGGAAATTGAAATCCATTGGAATGTGCTTTGGGTTAGTGGAGATGACCTTGACAACACAGTCTGGCAGCAGAAAACTGCAATCTGCGTAGCACTTGAGATTGTGACAGGGAGACAGGGGAACAAGCATTAATAGCAAAGTTAGAGATAGCTGGGCACTAAGGCTCATGTCTATAATCCCAGAATTCTGGGAGGTCAAGGCAAAAGGATCACTTTGACCCCAGGATTTCAAGATCACCCTGGGCAACATAGGGAGACTCCATCTTTACAAAATTAAAAATGTATTAAAAGCCAGTCAGGGCTTGGTGGTGTGCACCTGTGGTCGCAGCCACTCCCAAGGCTGAGGTAGTAGAATCACTTGGCCTGGGAAGTTGAGAATCACGCCACTGCACTCCAGTACTCTGGGTGACAGAGAGAAGACCCTGCCAAAATAAGAAACAATAAAGAAGAAAATGGTTAGAGGAAAAAGAATGTCTGAATGAATAATGTCAGCACTGATTCCCCATGACTTTTGTTACTTGCCACACTCTGTTCTCCATACAGAGAGATGTTTTTGGCAAATTCAAATCCTAAAAAGTCCCACCTATATAAAACCTTTCTGGGGCTTCCCATTCCATTTACTATAGACTCCAAACTGATCTCCAGCTTCCCCAGACACTGCATGATCTGCTCATCCTTCCAGCTCATGTCCTCATCAATTTCCTACTCATGATGCCTCAGCCAGATTGGCCTTCCTTCTATTCCATAAACAAGCAAATCTTTCTTGCTTTTGGATCTTCACATTTATCATTCCCTTTACATAAAATGGTGTTCCTCATCTTCTCATGGTTGGCTCTCTGTTGACATGTAGCTCTCAGCTGAACTGTCACGGCCCTGATGAAGTGAGACGTCCCTGTCCATCCTCTCCCGAATAGGCTCTGCTTCACTCATCACATCACACTGTTTCTCCCCTCCTAGCTGTTACCACAACCTACAACTAACTTACCTGTTGTCTGTTTTATTGCTTATTCACTGCATAGAGACCTTAGACAGTCTTGCTCCTGCTACATTCCCAAGAACCTGTGAATCATGCCCAATGTCATAGAAAGTCCCATAAATATTTATTAAATAAATTAATCCAGGAAGGCAAAGCTGGATCAAATACATCAGCACTTCTGGAGAATTATAGCAGTCAGAGGAGGAAAACAGTGAGTTAGGATGGAACGTGAGCAGAATGGGTCACTACCCAAGCCAACAGACCTGAAAAGTCTCCTATCATTCCTCAACTGGACAGTTTCCTGCATGAACCCATGCCATAGTGCAGGTCCACTTTTGCCCAGATTAACCCACAGAGCCAAAAGAGTTGGGTCAAAGAAACATTCGTGATGGAAAACACCAAAAGAGAAAGCAGTCCCACAAGGAGTTGCTCTGGTAGTAACTTTTAAGGCCTATTTGTTTAACCCAAATATATGTATAGGACGTGATACCACCCACATATTTGTACAGGAAAATAAAACTACCATTGTACAGCTCTGCTTTCACATGACTGTAATTCAGAACACAGAATTCAGGAAAGTGAACATCAAACTTTCAAATCAGCAGTCAATTAAAAAAATTGTTTTTCATAAAGTGTTCGATTCAAAGCAGCCCTTTGATTCCTCTCAGAACAAAAGATCTTAAAAAGAGCAGATCAGTAATGACTGGAAAACAGCCAGTGGATTATAATAATTTTTTCACATCCTTCTTATATCTCTAGGAGATAACTATGGAACGTTGTACCCTGACAGAAGAGCAACACTTATAAAATATTTCCCAACAAAATCATACTCTATCTATTTTTGTTATTTATTTTTTTATTATACTTGGAAGTTATGTGGAATACATGCAGAATGTGCAGGTTTGTTACAGGTATACACGCATGCCATGGTGGTTTGCTCCACCTATCAACCTGTCATCTACATTAGGTATTCTAACACATTCTCCTCTGTCCCCATCCCCGATAGGCCCTGGTGTGTGATGTTCCCCTCCCTGGGTCCATGTGTTCTCATTGTTCAACTCCCACTTATGAGTAAGAATATGCTGTGTTTGGTTTTCTGTTTCTGTGTTAGTTTGCTGAGAATAATGGTTTTCAGCTTCATCCATGTCCCTGCAAAGTACATGAACTCATTCTTTTTATGGCTGCATAGTGTTCCATGGTATATATGTGCCACATTTTCTTTATCAAGGTTATCATTGATGGGCATTTGGATTGGTTCCAAGTCT